GAACCCTGAACCCTGATCCCTGAACCCTAAACCCTAAAACCCTCAACCCTGAACCCTGAACCCTAAACCCTAAAGCCTAAACCCCGAACCCTAAAGCCTAAACATGGGAACCTGATCTCTGAAACCTTGGAGGCCTGGGCTGCAAGGTTCAGTTCCGAGGATCCCCCGAATAATCAGGGCACCGTTTTTGTCCGGTTTAGGGTTTAGGGTTTAGGGTACTTTTCGGGTTTAGGGTTTAGGGTTCAAGGTTTTCGATTTTGATGAGGGAACCCGACCAAAAAAACGGGCAAAAGGGTATTACTGGGACGCTTTTGCGTATTGTGGGTTTTGGGGTCTAGGGCTTGGGGCTTAGGGTTTTGACTTTAGGGGCTTAGCTTTCGGGCTTGGGGTGTAGGGGTTGGGATCTCGAATTTAGGCTTGTGTTCAGACTTTCGGATTTTCGGTAGGCTTCGATGTCCCGACATTCGGGAATGAACACCAACATTAAAAAATAAAATAAAAATGACAATAACACAATGCCTCTCAGGAAATCATATCTTCGAATGGGAGGCCGTCGTTTCTGCAGCTTGGGTCTTTCATTCTAGGGTTGAGTGAGTAGGGAATAGTGTTAAGGGGTTAGGGGCGTAGGGTCTAAGGATTACAGGCCTCCAGGTTTATACGGTAGTAAACCCCAAACCCTAACCCCTAAACCCTAAACCCCTAAACCCCTACAACCCTAAACCCTAAAGTAAACCCTAGACCCTACACCTTAAACCATGCTTAGCCGCCAAGGCGAAGCCCGCTTTTTGTGCTCCCCATCTGGCCAAATAGATTCCTAAAAGCGTCTGTGCCTCTGGCAGCATTCAAAATAGAAGCGATCATGTAGGGGCCTTAATAATTATATGGGGTAGACTATACTACTATAATTTAAACAAGGAGCCCCAAAAATAGAAGATGTACTTACTAAGGCCCCTATATTAGGATAACACCTCCCGGTACCCGCAGGGGTGTCCCTTGCTCTGGCTAGTGGAAAAAACTATGGCCCAACGGTGGCCCGAGGACCGCTGGGTGGGTGACACGTTTGGGGACCGAACGTGCAAGCATGGGTTTAGGGTTTAGGGTTTAGGGTTTAGCAGCAGCTCATGTCCGGGAAGCTGCGCACTGAGACAGAAAGCTCAATAGAAATGATGGCCATAATGGCGAGTAGCGGCTTGCTGACTTGCTTTCTGGCTTAGCTACTTATTGGCTGAGTTGCTGTTGCTACTAGTACTAGTACTAGTAGTACTAGTAGCTAGTAGTAGTCGTAGTAGTAGTGGTAGTAGTAGTAGTACCACCTACTACCTGCCACCTGCTACCTGCTACCCGCTACCTGCTACCTGCTACCTGCTACTTGCTACTACTTACTACTACTACTACTGCTACTACTACTACTACTGCTACTACTACTACTACTGCTACTACTACTACTACTACTACTGCTACTACTACTACTACTACTACTACTACAACGATTACTACTACTACTACTACTACTACTACTGCTCCTACTGCTACTACTACTGCTACTGCCACTGCCACTGCCACTGCCACTGCCACTGCCACTGCCACTGCCACTGCCACTGCTACTGCTACTGCTACTGCTGCGGCTACTGCTACTACTGCTACTTCTGCTACTTCTGCTACTACTGCTACTGCTGCTACTGCCTCCTTTGCCTATTCCTGCTATGGCTACGGCTACGACCGCGACCCCACTACCACTACACCTACTTCCTGTCTAAGCACCGAAACCTGCAGCGTCCCCTTGAGGTACGGGCCTCATCACCGAAGGTGCCGAGGCAGGGTTTGCTTCACAGGGCGGTGAAGGCTTTTGGGGTTTGAGGTTCCCGCTGCCTTTCCCACAGGCCTGGATGCATAGTTTTCTGCCTGGACTCTTAATTAGGTGTTTTCGACTTTTGAATTTGTCCAGCTGCTTCTTTTGGCTGGCCTTCGGCGCATTTCCCCAGAAAGGGCCGGTGTTCCCCCTTGTGCAGATCCAGCGTGCATCCAGCCCCAGGCCTTTACACCTTTCCTGAGATCCAAGAACCTGAAGCCCTAAACGTCACCACGGTCAAGCACTAGGCTCATAAGCCCTTAACCCAGTAAGGTCTACAGCTTTGGCATGGTGCTTCTTGAGCTGCTCACTGGCGTGCCACCTGCTATCTGCCGGCCGGGTGGCCAGTCAGGGGAGTACAACTACCTGGCGGCTCGGCCAACATCTGAATGCCATCTTTGCTCCCAGATTGGAGAAGATGTGCTCTTGAAGGACATGGAACATCGTTGCATTATTGCATTCCGAGCTCCGAAGCTTCACGTCACGCTTGGAAGCGGTGTATGAGGGTAGAAAGGAGTGTTGACGCTTCACGATTGATCGACGGTTCACATTTGGGTTCGTTTCAGGGCACCTGCACAGGGTATTCTTCAAGCAATTTCATAAGAAGGGTGCATTACGGGGGCCCTGGTGCAGAGCACTTCCTTTTGGGGTCCAGCGCAGGTGGATTGGCTGCAAGGAAGAGACCTGACTGCATGTCTCAGCTGGGGCGAGGAAAGTCTAGAGCAATGAACCTCCAAATTTTCGTGGCTTCACGGTACCGTCAATGGTCGGTGTTGTTTATTTTTATGGGTGTTCGAATGTGTCATTGAACCAATTGAAGAACTTGTGAATTGTCCGTTTGCACGAAGCCGGCCATGAAGTGGATGCCTACTCTGTCCCACCTGCACTACGTGCTGGTCGGGGGCTGGCCTCATCATCAGCTGGTCGCATAAACGTGCGTCCAAAGTCGGAACAATTTAGATCTGCAGGCCTGAAGAGGACCGGTACCCAGCCCCTGAAGGGTGGTCTGTAAACTTGGCTGGGAATGTCGCAGTGCTAGGTTCCTGGTGCTGAATTGAGGGCCCAGGCACGTGGCCGGGTGAAACCCCCACAGTGTGGAGCATTGTGTGTTACTCGATCGCGTTTCGTGTTTGGGTGTTGGTACAAACTTGATGTCTTTCGTATGTCACCCCCGCCGAACACTCTGCCCGAAGCTATCCTGGCTGTTCCGAAAGAGTGTGTGTGTGTGTGTGTGTGTGCCGAAACCAGTGCGCACAACGATGTTTATAACACTTGCGATGTCCGTTGTTGAAAGTCCTTGCCGTTTAAAACGTGCTTTTCTTGCGAAAACAGTGTGCGCAGCATGGGCTCTTTGAGCATTGCTTGCTGTCGCAGCTCTTGGGACGTATGTCGTGCGTGTTGCTGCAGAAGTATGGACTTCGTGTCCTCGCAAGAACAAGAGAACAGTGAACAGGGCACTGTGGTGGGTTCCACGGAAAATGTGCCACTGCTGGCGGGGATTGAATAAATACACGACGGGGGAAACACCTTGGAAAGTCCGAACCCTAGAAGCCCTTGTGCGACCGACCTTGCACTGCCCGCAACACCAGCAGTGCAGACCAGGAAGCTGAAAGCTATGGGTTCATGTCGTGCCTACCGGAATGTGGGAGGGATTTAGGGTCTACCAAAGTGTGAAGTACAGAAATGTCTACGAAAGCCTGAGCGTCATGCAAAGTATCGAAGCCTGCAAGCCCACAGATGCAACAATCCCCACGCTCCCTAGCGAAATGCTCGGGGTCATGATGGCGTTCGCCTGAACCAAGGTTGCCGTGATTCCAAAGTCAGATAGGTTCTTAGGCCTTAGCATTACCTTCTCACTACTTCGAAGATCTCGAGGCAACCGTTTTCGAGGGCCACAAGCCTCGAACTGAGGTTCGGAGAAAGTCCAGCAGATGCTGGACCAGACCGCAAGCTTTGCCCCGCGCACCGCTGAGGTCCCGACCGGGAATGACTGACGATGGCACTTGCTACTGTACGCTATGCTCCCTTTGTGGGCCCTAACGTGCAATCAAAACGGATAGCTTGCATTGAAGGGTGTTCCAATTCAGCGCAATCCCTGGAGAGTGCATGTGGGTTGCTGAATCTGCCATGAGAAGAAGCCACAGGATACGCTCTGCAAGTTTCGACGCCACTGGTTCTGGCATACATCGCGACTTTGCCATAGTCTCTGTGTGTTATGTTTCTGGGATGAAGGTGTGAGCAATGCAGGATGTAAATGAGCTGTTGGACAATGCATCGTCCTCCGAGCTCAGGATGAATGTAACATAGGAGTCTAAATAATTACCACTACTATTTTTTTTGGGGGTCCTTATTGTGATTATGTATAATATACACCAAAACCCTATTCCAATTATTAAGCCACGTATAGTTGGCAAAGGGTTCTTTTGCTGATTCGGTTTGGATGCTGTTGTCGGTTGACAGGGTCTGGACTTGTCCGAGGGTGCATCTGAGAATGCAGACTCCAAATGCTAGTCCTCTATGTAATGTAACCCGAAACCAAAACGATTTCGCCACGGGACTCCGATTTGGAGAGTCCTAACCGTCAACCGCAGCACAAGTTGAGAAGTGTACCAAGTCCAAACCGTAGCGCTTCCGGTTCAGTCTCGGAATGTTGTTTGACAGGCAATGAGCGAGCTTGCCTTCCGTTGCACTCGCCTCCCGAGACACTTGGGTGGAAATTCCAAGTCTGGGATGCAGGAGTTTGTGGTTTACCAGGTGTGGCTCTATGGAGCGGGTTTCCCCCCAAGGCCCAAGCACCAGACCACTTCTCCATTCATACTGACACAGGCTCTTTCTTAGTCCAAACGCCCATAATAAGCCTACGCCCAAAACATCCAAGAAGCTGGGAGGTTTGCGCTCTGGTAGGTTGGGTGGATGTCCAGCATATGCCCCGAGCCCTCAGCAGCCACCTCCTGGGTTTGTGCGCTTGTTGTGCACTTGTTGGGCGCGCTGGTGTGAGCGCAATTTGTTGCTGCGCAGCTACAATTTGCAACGAAATGTCTGGCAAGTCCCGAAACTCCAACCCTGCAACGAGTGCGGGGGCTGAATCGTTTAAGTAGATCATCAAGCTGCTGTGCCCCGCCCTACACCCGAACCCTTACATGTCAATGCCAGCAGCAGATCTGGAGCCGATCACTTCGCCCATAGTCAGACCAAAGCCCCGAAGCTTCTGGGATGCTTTCGGTTGAGGGCTTTAGAGGTTTAGGGTTTAGGGTTTAGGGTTACTGTGCCCTTGAGGGGCTGACTAGAAATCAGGTACGGAGCGGCCTTTGTTTAAGCAGCTGGTGGAGGACTCTTGGCCCGCAGGTGTCGGAGTTGAGGTCGTTTCTTTAGTTAGCATCCACTGCCGTTTGACTGGCTTGAAGGCTGTTTGAAGGTTCAGACATCGGCCTATCCGTCAACCTACTTGTGCTTCTCCTGGAGAGCAGCCAAGCCGGATCAGGATGCAGACAGCCCTTCATCCACATGGATGAACGTGGCTTTCGACTTCCACTCTCCAGTAGATTCCGCCCTGGTTGCAATTCCGGCTCAAAAGCTGAGAGACGATAGCTTTCTCCATCCCTATAGAGACCATGTTCACGCAGAATTTTGTCTAAAATCTCTTCCAGAGCTTGCAGCTCCGGTTGCAGAAAGGTCCCGAAAAGCAGGTCAGTCGTTGGATCCTCGACTGCCATGGAAGTTGGCTGGAGTACAGCCCATTGCCAGCGGCTACATGAGCCCAGGGTCCGGGAGATTTCCTGCAGCCACCATGGCTGCATGACTTCTCTGCAGGCGAATGGCCACACTTCGAAGTTGGAATGCAGCCATAGCAGCATCTCGGTTTGCACTCGCTGAAGCTCTGCGCATGCGAAGCCAGCGTTCCGGTCAGAAGATTTTTCGCGCTTGTATTTTGAGCCGCTCCATAGCACATCCATGGCATGATCGGAAAGTTTGTGCTAGGCAACCCCATGACGACGAAGCTATGTTTATCAGATCAACAATACTGGTAGCAGAAAGCTTGGCCTACGGTTCGCTTCGCCAGTACAGAAGCGGTGGCAACAACGGGGTCATACTTCTCAGCTGCCAGAAGATACAGTAACAGAAGGCCTGCCGTCGACAAGCGCGGTGGGAAGCGGCACTCGTGCTTCTCCAGTCCATGGCCGCGGCAAGGTGCAGTGCATCTTCGGGGCGTGTTGAGGGTCGTTGCTTCAGCAGATGCCAGATGCCAGATGCTTCTAGGTCTTCAGCAGCCACCAAAGGAGTCCTTGCAAAAGGCTAGGAGCTCGTCCAGGCTCCCGCCAGACCTTGTCAGCTTCACCGCTGCAGCAGGCGCCTGCGAGGCATCTGCATGCTTGTCTCTTTCAGTGGAGGGGAGGGCTGTTCATCCAATGTTGACTCTGTTAGCGCGGATTCCACCATCTGTTTGTTTTCACTCTGACAAGATAATGCAAAAAACGACGCTTGCGACGCACGCTTTGTTCTATACACAGACTCAGCGTGTTCTCTTCAAGATTCCACTTCTCATCATGGCATGTGGTGCCAGGCAGCGCGGCACTGGCAGCACGCTGTAGCACTCCTCGGTGGAAGGTCGCTTCGGGTAAGGTTTTGGGAACTTTGGCCTCTAAGAAGTGGGGTGTAGGGGGCTGTGAGGTGCAGCTAGGAGCAGCTGCTACATCCACTGATTTCAAGAGAAGCAAGGAGAATGATTATGAGTTCTTAGAGTAGGAGGTGCGTTTAGAGTAGAAGCAAGAGTAATCGCCAGAACCTCGTAATAATTCCAATGCCAGTCATTCAGAATCAGCGGGTTCGCCAGGGCGCAGCTGGACAGCACTGCTTGCACCACACTCGTCACGGCGTGGGGTCGCAGCGGCAGGTGGCAGCATGCCTTAGCAGTCCCTTGCCGTTCTGTTCAGCTAGCTCAGCGATCAGCCATAGATGAGATTTAGCAGGAATCCGCTCCTTCGCTGCGAACCGGTTGAACCTGCAGGTGTTATATATCTGCCAAGTTTGCCTCAACCATGCCCCACCAGCCATCTACCCATCCCTGAGCCGGGCCAGCTGATCTACACTCCCTTGACTGCCCGATCATCCTACTGCAAGATTTCAGGTGTTGGGGCCTGGTGGTGCCGGGCATCCTTGGCGCCTTGGACTCGCGGTGCTCGGGGCGGCCGTGACGGCTGCAGCACGCGGGCGTCGCTGGCGGGAGGCTCTGGTGCTTCGGGGCATCGTGTGGTGAGATTTGTTTCTGTTTTGGCTCATGTCAAGAAGACTGTGGGGAGCCGGAGGCGCTAGAGCTGTTGGAAGAAGCCCGGACAGCTGGATGCGAACAAGACGAAGTGGGCGACTTTGCATAGTAGAGGAAGCTTTCGCCTTTTTTCATTTGCCTTCTTGTGCCAGGCCTTTATGTTTTGAAGCGCTCTGTACAGTGCTGTAGATAGGTCAGCGTCATGCGGAGGTTACGGAGCAGCGATGCACGGTTGTGTCCTCGCTCGGCGATGGCAGCCTGCTTTGGCGCTGCTCTCTGCGATGGGCCGCCGGCGCATTGCGAGTGAGATGGCGGTGAACATCGGGATAGCAGCCTGCGAGGACCGCAATTATGGCAAAGGCTTGGGGCCTCCAGGTTTTAGGGTTTCAGGAATGCTGCAAAAGGGCTTATGGATTCTTGGGGATGCTGCGGTCTACGGTCTTCTAGAAGGGCTTGCTGTCGCCACTGTATCCAGGAGGAGCACCAGTGGCAACTTGCCATCAATTTGCTGACGAATCTCTACCTTGCCCGGGTGTGCCGAATAGACACCGTAAATACAGCTGCATCGGCATGTGAGCGAGGACGCAAGTGGCAGCAAGCACTGCATCTTTTTGAGGAGGCTTTTCATGCTGACGTAACACCGTCTCTGCTATCGATTGTGGTTATTTTATCGGCTTGTTCCACCGGTAGTTCGTGGGAGCCGGCGCTGTCCTGGTTGTCCAAAGCCCAGAACACACAGGGCGACCTCGCCACCCAAACCGCTTGCTTGAATGCTGCAATCGCCAGCAGCAGTCGTGCTGCGCAGTGGGAGCGTGCTCTCATCACCCTGAAACGGTCCATCAGGAAGGATGTCATCGGCTACAGCTCTGCTTTGGACGCCTGCCGCTGGGGCTATGCCTGGAGAGGCGCTGCTGTCCTTCTTGCCACTGCGGCCACAGACTGCGTGGAGTTGGGTGCGGCGGCTTACAGGTCAGCAGTGGAAGGCCTGGAGCACGCGCAGAAGAAAGAGGCGGTGCAGCTGCGGCGTCAGGTACGTGTCCGTGCACTGCAGGCCATGCAGGACCCTTGCGACCCAGAGGCCTGGTCTTGGTGGGAGCTTTCGGAGAGCTGTGGGCCAACGGACGCTTCTCTCCGAATGTTCCGCGCAGTCCACTTTGAGAACCTCGTGCCGGCAAGCAAGGATCTCGTTTCGCATCCTGCATCGCTTCCCAGTGCAGTCGTGCGCCGCAGTGTGGAAGAGCTTAAGCAAAGCGGAGCGATGCACAAAAGGCTCCTCCGGGCGTCGCAGAAGAACCTACCCCCACCGCTGATGGAAGCCTCGCTTTCCAAATGTGCACAGTGTGTTGGTTCGGAATTCGGCAGGATCTTGGATCCGTCCTGCTAAAAACGAGTCAGCAGAGAAATTCTAAGCAAGGAGTGGGAGTGTTGAGGCTTGCATGGGTCCACACCATGGTTGGTTCTGGATCTTGTCAGAGAGCGGAGGTCTCCGCAGAGCCGCACACTTCCCCCGAACCCAAAACTAAGCCGACAGCGCACCGAGGCCTCGATCCTCTCGGGATGCAAAGGTAGACATAAGTCGACATGTCGACGATGATGATGATGGTGGTGGTGGTGGTGATGATGGCCTCTGAGCGGCCTTGCCATCGTGATGATGCCCCCTCCTGTCTACTGAATTCAAAGGTCCGTCGAAAAAATCAGCCAAGGAGCTGCGCAAGTTGCTCTCTGCCTTAGCGGAAGTTGGGCGCCCGACGGAGGCCTCATGACGCTTGCTTTAGCCTACAGAAGTCGATCCTGACTTGGTTCCGGGTCAGAGATCGCCCGAGCCTCGGGGGAATTGATGCATCACGCTCTTCGGGGTAAATTTATTTGCGCCCTCCCGCTGTGGCTGCTATTCTGTTTCCTCCCATTTGCTTTGGCGTCCCTTTGCGTTTCGGGATTGCGAGCATGCATCAGCACATATCCAGCGCTGCTGCACTAGGAGTTGGATCTCGACTCGTTTGAGGATTGGAGCCCACCCCGTGCCAAACATAGCTCATGTAGAGTAAGACAAACAGCCTCATACTATTTTTATCCAGGCCTTATAGTCCTTGGGCACCACAATTATTGCGTTATTCCTAAGGGCTCGTCGATGGCGTTCTACTCGAAGATACCTCAAAATCCAGTTGTGTCTGTCCCTAAACCCTAAACCCCTCTCGGGAAAAACCCCTAAACCCCAAACCCTAAACCCCTAAACCCCAAACTCTAAACCCTAAACCCTAAACAGTGTACCTCAAAATCCAGTTGTGTCTGTCACAGGTCGTTTCGACACCCGCGGCTGCCGCCTCTCCGCCGAGCTCGGAGTTGACGCCGCTCCCTGCACGCGGTGTTGCGTCGTTTGGAGACTATAGTAGCTCCCTCTTGGGGTTGCCTTATAGGATTCTACATATGAACCCCAAAAAGGAACTACTTCGGGTAAGGGGTCTGTGAATCTGAGCTTCATTACATTCCCTTCCGTCATGTGTGCTGGCACTCACCAAGTCCATTGCGCCAAAAATTACATACTCTTCCCCAGAAGCAGAGTTCGGGAAGCGTTGATGATAGAGAGAAGATAATTCATTGAGAAGGTTCTGTGTTTTGTCCGAAGTCGGGAGCTCCCGGCTTCCATATATCCTGAAGCTGTCCTCGCTGAGCCCGGCTTCAGGCAGGCTTTCGCCAGAGGCACTGCTGTGGAGGCTACGTCCGGGTACTTAAGAAATACAGGTTCTCGAATGGGTTTCCCCGACTGTAATATAGGGGCCTTCATGATTACCTATACTATTTAAGGGTTTCCTTATTATAATTACAGTATAAAGGAGCCCAAAACCCGATTCTAATTATTAAGGCCCCTGCATTATTCTTCCCGGTCATGGCTGCTGGGGCCGGGCATGCGAAAGCCGAACGCGGGTTCAAAGGAATCGCTCCCTGAATCCGTGACAGCGACGGGATCATTGACCTATTGTTCTAACGGTTGCTATGCCTTATTCCGATGCTATGATTGGTCTTGTCAGTGCGTTGTCGACAGCAAGACCATCGCAGTCAGGCAGGTATTTCCTTGTTGTTCTTCTGGGGATGATGATTACGATGAGAATGGTACTAATGATACTAATGATTTTATCCTTGTTGCGGCTGCTGCCGCCGCCGTCGCTCGTCTTCTTCTCTCCTGCATTCTTGTTGTCAGTGCATTACATATGTTCGAACCCTTCTGAACCCGTGACACTTCATATGATTTTCGTCATGAAGATCATTGTCATCGTCACCATCAGACCACTCTGTTTTTTCTTCTTATTACTGCTTTATCTTGGCTTAGCCGAAACCGCGTAAAAAGACAAGAGCCACGCTTCAACAGAGGCCACTTACCCCATGCCACAACTGTACGGAACTGACGTGATCTCGTCATCAGATCACCGGTGGACAATGAAGCCAGCCACCAAGGTTGAGCTGCAGTCACAGGTTCGTTCAATCTCTCAAGCTTAATCATCCTCTCTAAGCAACCTCCCTTGTGGGCATTGATCCTAGCCATGCGAGGGGGAAAAAGTGGGATGTGAGGGTCTGTGGGCGGATTCTTCCTCCGCACTCAGTGCATTGTCAACGCGTCTTTTGTTCTCTTGACTAGCGCAGTAAGATCACTTGCCTTCGAGCTCTAACCTGCTTTGGTGTAGCACATGCGTGCTTCTAGTAGAACCCTAACCCGCCAGGTAACTACTATATAGGGTACTAGAGCTCCTAAGGCCCGATATAGTAGGTCCCTGGGGGGTTTCCAGTGGCAGAGGTGTGTGGCTGTACCGAAGCGCCTGCTACACCGCCAGGCGCCCTTTCGCGGGGGACCGCTGTGGTTCCAAGGCCGGGTGTTGTCCTTAAATAGAATAGGGTTTTGGGGCCCATTTTACTATAATTATAATAAGGAACCCCTATACTACTACCCCTTAATCAAGGAATATACCTTTAAATCATAATATTCAGGTCCCTATAATTTAAGGTATATTCCTTAATTAAGCGGTATTGGGCTCTCTGGGTATCCTGAGGTCGTGCAGTCATGAAACATGTCTGTGCTTTGCGGTTAACTGCACGGATTGTGCGTGTTCGGGCATGCCTGATTCTCTGCCCGAATTTTCATCTGTTTGTTTATCAGTTTACAGAATCGGTTCATCCACGGTTACGGTACTTACCAGGGTCAAAGAACATTGCGAGCGCATGCAAGCATGTTGTTTACATGAAATCCACGCATGCATTCCGAGCACATAGCACTTCGTGGCATGTCTACTCCATGATGCTGGGCAGATGGCATGTGCCGCACCACGCCTGGCACATCTCGCAATGCAGAATGAAACAACTTTTCGGATTAAAAACTGGGGTGCAATCTTACGGTAAGTCCACCCTGAGAGGATGGGTCGTGAATTACAAGCAGAACGGCATTGCTGTGGTGCGATACAACGACGGCCGGCCACCTAGCGCTTAGTCTCGGGCTTCGTCCCTGTTGTGTTTTTGGACTACCTGTGCCAGAGTCCCAGAACCCTCAGCTTGCGCTGCCTTCCCCGGCTCTCCCATCTCAGCCCGATACAGGCCAGGAAGAAGACGTGCCCGTCGCCAGCCTTCGCGGGGCTCCCGGCGATTCCTTTGGGGCGCCGTCGCCGCCAGTGGCCGAGATAGGGCATCCGCAGCCTGGAGGAGTTAAGGTGGCTGGGAGAGCTGACATGAGCTCGGGGATGGGGCAGGCATGGCTGCCGAGACCTGCTTCAAAACAGAGTGTGCTGAGTTGCGTAAGGACCCCCAATACGTTTCTTTATCAAGACCGTTTCTTGATGCTTCTCAGTCTTGTACGTTCCAGTTGATTTATCTTTGTTTCTTCGGTTCTTGATAGGGACACAGCAGTCGCTATTCGCGATATCGACTGGCCACCGAACCCCAAAACATTGGATGCCTTTAACTGAAATCTCAGATCCATAATGAGTGACAAGCGGCATGTTTTTTATTTTATCATCTCTTGTCTGTCCGTGCAGTTTTGTCTATGGAAGAACAAGATCTCGAGGTCTGCGCCGCCATCTTTGCCTGCCACATTGATTGCCGATGCCGACAGTGGTCTGCTCGTGGCAGCCTTATGATCCAACCGTGCATCCTGTGATTGAACCCGAGATCATGTCGAAAGCCCAAAGCCTAAGCGCCAGACCTTGGACCGAGAACCCCAGCCGCTTCGTTTACAACCACTCAAAACAATGTGGTGTTGCGCGGTAAGAGAAGACGGCAACAGCTTCTCCATATTCTGCAGTGGCAGAATTACCTCCAAGCAGAAGCATGCTAGCGGATAGCGCTTTGGTATCTTTGGTGACGTGTGGATCCTGTCTGGGAATACTACTGCGAAGTGTTTTCTGGTCTTGAGCTATACTGTAGTGTTTGTTTTTTAGTTGGTTGGGTGAGCACAAAAGTTGAACACACTATGTCGATTATGTGGCACGTCACAGCCAGGGAGTCTCTTAAAGAGCTGCTGAAGGTGCCAAACAGGCACCGGCCCTTGGCCCAAATCCTCAGAAGCAACATGGTTAAATTGGGGGCTTACTCCCCCCCCAAATCCTTGATTGGTCGTCAAACCCTGGGTCAGAACACCCTAAACCCTAAACCCTAAACCGTAGCCATTTGGCTCAAGCCATTTTGGCTCAAGGCGCCGTGTAACCCCCGGCCTATTGCCTGCTGCAGTCGTAGGAAGAGGCCCCCCCCCCCCCCCCCCCTCCGCATCACCTAGAGCCCCTACCTGACTGCCTCTTTCCGAACTCCTCCCTTCCCTTCTTCTCCGTGACTGGGTCTAGTTTGCGAGGCTCTGTCCGACTGTCTCTGGTTGGTTGCTGGTAAGCGTCAGCCCTTAGTTGCTTCGTCCTGAGCTGTACTACGTCGTCATGTCGGGTGAAGGCCTCTTAGCAGGGATCGCGTCAGTGGCTGAGGAGCATCCAGAGGGGGCAGGCGTCGGACATGTCATCCCGCCGGAAGGTCATGCTAACGATTTTATTGCCCCACCTTCTCCCCGTATGGTAGCGGCCAGCAGAGATGCCCTTGCAGCAACCTTGGGGTCAGAATATGTCCAAACAGCAACAGAGGCAATTTCGGGAGTTCCCATGCAGGTAGACAGCACACGTGCCAGGACAGCTGAGCAAGCTGCATTGGAAGGTCAGACGGACTCCCCTCTTCGTAGACGCGTACATACTAAGCCTGCAAGCCAAGATGTAATCCCGGAATTTGATTTGACCAAGGGAGACCTGGATGATGATGAGCTTAATAATGCAGAGAAAGCTGCAGTTGAGGCCTTTGAGGGAAAGAACTGTCCGGAATTTGGGTCCACAAGAGATCCTGGCGCCTCCAACGGAGTTGAGCACTCCCGAGCCCCTCATTTGGGTACTTTGCATCCCCCATACTTTGCAGGACCCCTGTTTGGAAACATTCCAGGTTCTGGCGCTTCAGGTTCGTGCTCTGCTGTACCACCAGCACACGCAACTAACGGGGTTAATTCGGTGCAGGTGTCAGGGGGTGAAGGTTTGCAGAATTCAGGCACTTTGGCACCACAGGTAGTAGAACCGGTGCATGCTGGAAACCCACGGTATGATCCCCCTCAGGCACTTACGTAGATGGCACAAGAGGCCCCTCGGCTGACCTGAACAACCACACGCCCCCTTGGCTTCCAGCACTACAGGCTGATATCACGAGACTAGTCCAACAACAGGACCTTTTCATACAAGAGATAGGGGCTTGTTCTGCCACGACAAAACAACATGGAGCTGTCCTCTCTACACTTCAGACACGCACAGAGCATCATGAAAAATTGCACACGGATCATGAAAGCCGCCTGGTTCAACTTGAGAGAGAATTGGCAAGTATTAAGAGTCGTTCAGTCTCCCCCATCACTCCAAGAGGGGAACCTCCCAGAGGGCTTGGCTCGACTCAGGTGGGAGACCGGTAGATGACCTTCAGATTGTAGTTGGGGGGTATGTGAACGCTAAGAGGTCTGAGATTCAAAGAGAGATCACGGAGTTCTTTGAGAAACAACAAGGGGCCCAGCTGTTGCAGGAGGTTTATGTGCCTTACACACGCAGCAACATCGCACGCATTGTACTGCACTTCCCTGATAGGGCAGACCTTTCCGAGAGGCGAAAAATTCAGGGACAAGTACTTCAGGCGCTTAAGGGAGCCTACACGAAGAGTGACATTTCAGGCCAAGGACAGGCTAAGCTTTGGATCCAACGCAACAGGTCCCCAGAGGAACGACAGAAAATTAGGAGCATACTCAGAACAAAGGATGTCCTCGAAGCACTGAGTGGACCAGAACGCACTGAGTTCGATTGGAAGGGACGGGTGTACTTTGATGCCCAAGATGTTCTGTTCCATGCTTCGGACAGGCCAGCGCCGCCTGACAGCTACATGCACACCGATGTTAAAGGGAACCATAATGGGTGGTACGTTGATGCGGCTTTGGTAGCCAGAACCTTGGGGATGAGCACCAGCGAAGTGCTCAACAGGTTCCAGGGCTAGGACGTAGGCAGGGATGAAGCAGCCCCAGTGAGAAGACACGTTAATTACGGAATTCATGATGCACGTTTTTTGCATTGGAATGTCCGTGGCAAATCGCTGCAGGATGTTTTGGACTCCATAGAAGGGGCCACCCACACTCCAAGTACAGAACCTAACCGTAACGGTAGGAAATCACCAGTACTCCTGCTTTCACGTGGATTCGGCGGACGGCTTTAGACAACTGTGCATTGCGGTTCGTCAGCCTTTTGCGGACGTGGTTGATTCTGCTACTGCTATGTCCGCGGGTTTGGCTCTTACGATTCGGCCTAAGAAGGGTAAAGCAATTCATTTAATCACTATGCATTTTCCTCATAGTAAAAGGCCGGACGCACGGGAAGTTTGGGAGCGGGCCTCCAAAGAGCTTGCTGCCCGACTGTCTACCTTTGGTCCCGAGGACCTGGTGCTGCTCTCTACAGACTTGAATCAAGATTACACGCTGCATTATGATTCTTTCCCTGAGATGCCACACTTTCGCACCCTAATTTGCCAGCATGACCTGAGGGCACAGGCCTTTGAGGGGGACACTTGGTTTGCTCGAGGTTGTTCGTCCAAGATAGACTTCTTGTTTACGAGGGGGATGGGGTCCGCTTTGAGGTGCGCAGTAACAGTGCTCTCCGCATGTCGTTGCCTAGTGACCATAATGCCCTAGAACTTCTATGCTCCTCTAAGACGCCCTTTCTCAGGCCATTGTATAGGAAGACGCTTTGCGGTAGATGGGAGACGGATGCTGTGGACTTTGCTAGTGTGGTCGCACAAGTAGGGAACCTCCGTTTTGACTTGGATATTTTGGAGAGAGTTCGAAAAGCCACGTCGAGAAAGCCGCCGTCTCATCGCTACAGGGACCCTCAGTGTGTCAAAGCAGCCATTTCCGCCCGGAAAGAATGTCAGGACCCCGCTGAGCGAGAGAAGCTGGTAAGCGACATTCATAGGCTCCGACTCCAGGCTAGGATCGATCATAAAACCTCTTTACTTGAGAAGGCTCAGAATGGAGATAGATCGGCCATTGGCTTTCTGAAGCGTAGTTCAGCAGCCTCCTCTACGGATGCGGGCTTCTTGCAACGAGCAGGGGGATCAACACAAGCCCAAAGAGATGTTGCGGCTCATTATCGTGCGAAGTATGAGGCCGTTGATCCCACTCCCATTGCGCCGTTTGTCGCCAAATTGCTGGAACGGCATGCTGATGCTCCCTCCCTGTCGATCACCTGCGATGAATTATTGCGCCATCTATCCAAGCTTGACGACCGCACTTGCACGGGAGAGGATGGTGTTCCATATAGCACGCTTCGCTGCATCCTTAATTCGGAATTGAAATACGCCTTCTGCAAGTTTTTCAACGATATATTGAGCACCGGAGAAGTGCCTGCAAGCTGGCGCAGAGGTAGAGTGTCTTTTCTCCCTAAAGTTAAGCTACCTGTCGGGCCCGCCGACCTTCGTCCCATCTGTCTTACCTGCACCTGTGCTAAACTTTTTGGTAGGGTCCTGATTCATCGTTTGCGCAAACTCACCCCTCCTTGTCATCCACTCCAACTTGGATGCCAGCCGAGCAGGCAAGCTATGGATGGTATTAATTCAGCAAGAGCGGCCATTTTGGCCAGTTCGAGAGCAAAGATTCCGCTGTATCTTGCTAAATTAGATATTCGCGCTGCATTTGATTCTCTTTCCCATAAGGCCATTATTCAGTACTTAATGCAAGCTGCACCATCTCGTGACTCGTACGCTCTTTGGAAGCTGCTGTCCGATAATGAAGTCGTTCTGGAAGTAGGAGGGGAAAGCTGGACGCAAGGCTTAGGACGTGGTATACTTCAGGGCACATCATATAGCGCGGAGCTCTTTAGCCGAGTCATCGTCTGGGCTCTAGACCCCATCATCCGAAGCCTCGAGTCCGACCCTATTAAAATTCATGGGGTTTATATCCCTTCCATGCTTATTTATGCCGATGATATTCTTCTTTTTGGACGTAGCCCTCCTCCAACAGAGGCTCCGGTCGGTGCAAAGGGCTTTGGATGCCATTGGACTTTCGCTCAATTTACGTAAGTGTTCTGTGCTTAGAGGCCTCAACGGAGAGGTTCCGGGGGTATGGGGATTGCGACATCCACAACCACTGGCTTCGACTGAAGTGTTTGTGTTTTTGGGAATTCCCCTGGGCTATGAAACAACGGGGGAGGATGTGCTCTTCCACTGCCTCCGCAAGACCCAGAGTAGTTACTACGCCTTCAAGAAACTTATGGACTCCCCGACAGCTGCCCTGGATACTAAGGTTTCCATTTTTCAGACTTATATCAGCTCGCGTTGGTTGTGGGCTTCTCCGGCGGTTTTCCCGACTGTAACCCTGCTTAAGAAAGTTGATGCAATGCGCAATACTCTCCTCCTGAGTTTGTTGCGGCTTCCCACCGATCCTCTTTTGGACTGGGTCTCCAATGAGGTATCAAGACGTAGGGCAGTACGCTTACTATGTGATAGGCTCCCCAAAATGCCCCAATGGAGTCGACAGTGGCTTAAGCGATACTGGTCCTTTTAGGGTCATGCAGCTAGAGAA